AGGAGCTAACACTACATATATGGCGGTAGTTCTTGTGCAAGCTAACACTAGTTATATTAACACAGGAGCTAATGCCACATATCTATCAGTAAAATATAATTAATATTAGTTCCTGAGTGAGCTAACACTCATAATATTAAGTCAGAAGCTATTTTATTAAATATTGCATTTGATCCTTTCAACCCATATATTGGTTCAGAACACTGAAACTAATGAAAAATTATGTTTATTGYCACAATCATAGGTTTTTAGTCTCGAATCTTTGTATTTTATTCTCAACTGTAAGTGAAACATGTAATAAATACAAACAATTTTTAATTAGATGTTTTGACGTGTCAAAAACAACTTTTAGTAAAACAAATGAGTAGTCTAAGATCCTTTTCAAAACATTTTCAGAGGTCTTTATTTTAGTGTTTAAACTACAGTGAAAGTCATCAGGCTTTCAAACCAACAGTTTCTTCGGGGCTTCTGTTGTAAAAAAGATGAAGTGACGTTCAGCGTCGTCGCCTCTTAAAGTCGACATGAAAGCTGATTGTTTTCATGGCTGAGTGGGAGGTGAGCTTCTGGACACATTCTGCTGATTGTCTGAGAGCTGACGCAAACAATAAACATTAAACTGAACAATAAACTATTCAAACCATTGTTAAAAAACGTATTTTTGTTGCTTTTTTAAAACTTATGTATTCATGAAATGAAAAGAACGATGATTGTATGTTTGGATTTAACTTAAAGTCGATTATTCCTTGAAGGGATGCAAATCACTCATCGCCTTTTGTGACAGAGTTTAAAGTGGAAATCATGCTGAAAAGGGGCAGAGTCATAGCCTTTAGGTCAAATACACTCTTATACACATATATACAAACACACACAGGTGAAAAATATCGAAATATGGCAGAATTGAGCTGAAGTATATCTACATTTTGCACAAAACTAAATACATTTTTATTTTTTGTGAATATGTAGCCTGAAACTGTAGCATGTAGACTCTTATTACAGCTCAGTTCTAKTCAGTGTAAACACTTTATATTAAGTTCTAATATCCACATTTCTTCATTTTTTATGGGTCAAATTGCAAACCACTATCAGCCAAAAGCAGTGTTCAGATAAACTGTTGGTAAAATTGGCCCAAACTCTTGGCAGCTGTTATTATTCCAGTGTTTTCACGTCCGTTTGTTCAACAGTTAATTAGAAACAGACGTTTCTGTTTTGCAGTGATAGAAAACACTTTTACTTTTCCAAATTAAAAACTTGCCAATTTTTGATTTATTATTTATTCATTTTTTTTGCTCCTAATGATGAAAGTTGACAAAAGTTTCCTTTTTTTTCCAAACTGATACTATTTAATCTCTAAATGTTACCATTTAACTACACCGTTGGGAGAGTTGTTGTTTTGTGAAGCTTACAGCGATGCGCAGGAAAGGTTCAGYTCTGGAGTTTAATTTATCAGAACAGAATAAAACAAAATCTGGTCTGTAGCAGGTTTTAAACTTATAGCTTCAAGTATTTTACAGAATATCTAACTTTATAAACATATATTTTCCCACAGAATCACACTGAGATCTTTTTATTCTTTTTAAAAACTTGGTTCTCTTTCAAATCTGCTTTAGAAAATTTCTCTTTCAGGATATTTTCAGCTAGCATTTTGACAGATTTACATTTTAGCTAGCTTTTTGATACTTTAGCTAGCTTTTTGATACTTTAGCTAGCTTTTTGATACTTTAGCTAGCTTTTTGATACTTTAGCTAGCTTTTTGATACTTTACATTTCAGCTAGGCTTTTGATACTTTAGTTAGCTTTTTGCTACCTTTATCTCCTTTCTTGACTTTTTATACTTAAGCTTTCAGGTATCACTTTGCTGCTTTAAGGTAACGCTTTGATATGTTTTAGCTAATTGTAATTTCAAGTACATTTTTGCTTCTTTTAGTTTTTAGCYAATGTTTGTCTTCTTTCAGCTTTAAGAACTCAATTTCGGCTGTGTTGGCGAACTTCATGGGAGTCATTTGAGTCCTGAGCRTTGAATCTCTCACCGTCTGTTTGCTTTCAGACGAACGACGCCATAGGGAACTCGTGGAACTGGCTGTACTTCATCCCGCTCATCATCATCGGCTCCTTCTTCATGCTCAACYTGGTGCTCGGTGTTCTGTCAGGGTGAGTCCAGGACCACTTTACCGTAATCGGTTTGTGACCACGGGGTAGGAACGTAGACAGCAACGTATTTTAAAACTGTTTTTTTTTTAGCTTTTTGCTACCTTTATCTCCTAGCTAGCCTTTTTATATTTAGCTTTTAGCTAGCACATTGAAAACTGTGTTTTAAAACAATGTTGTTGTTTTAGAGAATTTGCCAAAGAGMGAGAGCGYGTGGAGAAGAGGCAGGAGTTCCTGAAGCTTCGGCGGCAGCAGCAGATCGAGCGAGAACTCACCGGCTACCTGGAGTGGATCTGCAAAGCAGGTGAAGCTGATCTACGAGTGCTTCCTGCGGCTGTTTGGGTTTAAAATAAAGAAGGCTAACTGAKCTGAAGCTTGTTCTTTCTGCTGCTGCAGAGGAGGTGCTGCTGGAGGAGGAGGACGAGATCGCGGTGGAGAAGTCCCCGCTGGACGGAGCGTGGTACAAGAGGAACCAGAACCTGTCAGGTGAGTCCTCAGGAGGCCGGACCAGGAAGCAGTGATTTTTACAGAATCTGTTTTAGAAGCTAAACCTGCTGAACTGACGCAGGAAGCTCAGCTCACCTTTCCTTTCGGAGGACTTTTGTTTTTGGCAGATTACTGGAGCGTGTCCAGGTGGAACAGCAGCACGAGTCCACAAACACGTCCTGGTTCCTGCTGGATCTGGTGCTTTCACAGAGTTCCCCAGAATAAAAACAATTCTTTTTTATTTGTTTGTTTTTCTTTTTTTGCCTTCATCCTTTTTGTCTTTGCCTTCTTGTTTTAGACGAATGTCCTAGTTTATCTTCATTTTGTCTTGTTTATCTTTGTCTTTTTTCTCTTCTATTGCTATTTTTATTAAAATTATATTAATTTATATAAGTAAAATAAAAAATTATTTTACAATAATTAAAGAAAAATTAAAGAATAAATTAAAAAATTCATACAGTGTTCTTATTTTCTTGTTTTTATTGTCATTGTTCATTTGTGTGCTCCTGTGCTTTTATTGTTGTAGTTCTGAAAAGAGGCAAAATCAAGAAAGGTAAAAACGACTTGATCGGTGCAGAAGAGGGCGAGGATCCCTTCGCTGACATGTCGTCTGTTGGTAAATCTCACCTTTTTTTATTTTTACTGAYCAGCAGGTTGTCTTTGACCGCCCGATTTTGGCTTTCACAATAAAAGCGTCCGTCTCACCCCCATTTTGCAGATGAATTTTCTGGTAATAATGTGTTTAAATGTAGCTGTTAGTGCAATGATCCCGAGAGCTGAAGCTGTTTCTCCTGGCTCTGCCACCTTCAACAAGAAAAAGAATAATTTACTTTTCTAATTAGACTGTTAAAATAAAAAAAATAAATCACCTGCAGCACGGTGGTTTCGTGTTAATGGGTTTTATAGTTTCACATTGGAAGGAAAAACAGTGTGCTAATCACAGCCAATTAGTTTTTCTCCGTTTTAACTGCCAGCTTTGTCTTTATCGACTGTTTTCTGTAAAATGAAGCTCTGAGAGAATAAACGTGTGACTCTCCTCTCGTTTGTTTCGCACAAATCTCTGCAATAAGTTTGTTTAAGTTGTATTTTTTTTTTTTAATTGAGTGATTTGTTTCAGTTCCTCCTGGCTCTCCGTTCGGCCGGGCTAGCGTGAAAAGCAGCGGGAAGATGGACAGCTCCTCTTATTTCCACCGTAAAGAGAAGAGGTTCCGCTTCTTCATCCGCAGAATGGTGAAAGCTCAGAGTTTCTACTGGATCGTTCTGTGCCTGGTGGGCCTCAACACGCTGTGTGTGGCCATCGTGCACTACGACCAGCCCGACTGGCTGACCAGAGCTCTCTGTGAGTCACAGAACCACCTAACGCTGGACAGCTTCTGTTTTACTGTCTGATCTGTAAATGTGCCAAACAGACACGGCGGAGTTTGTGTTCCTGGGTTTGTTTCTGACGGAGATGACTCTGAAGATGTACGGCCTCGGAGGAAGAAATTACTTCCACTCCTCCTTCAACTGCTTTGACTTTGGGGTGAGTCACTGCGGGGTGTAAAGCAAAACATGTCTTCTTCATGGCTTTTAATAGTCATACTATTTTCCTTCTACACTCTAATTTCCTCTGCAGAGTTTGTGCAGTTTGCCGTTCATTTACCAACACAATATTGTTGTGTTGTTCACCAGTGATTCGTTCAAATGAACGATTCGTTTGAGTGAACGAGTCTGTTTTCACAAGATTTCAAATACATTCTAAACACGACAAACAGTTCAAATAAGTACACTGCATATTATTATTATTATTATTATCCCCTCTGTATTATTATTATTATTATTATTATTATTATTATTATTATAGTATAAGTATTACAGATGAACTGAATGATTCAGTGAACGAATCCTTTGCATGAATCATCTTAGTGAACTGATTGTAATGACTCTGTTCACTACAATGAACTGCTGTTCCCATCATGGAAGTTATTTTTTAATCCCTTAGCTTCTAGTTGGCATTTTATTTCTTTTAACATTTAGTTAGCCTTTTGGTTGTTTTTCTTAGCCATTGCCTTTTAGCTGTCCTTTGCTAATCTTAGCTTATTGTTAGTTTTTTGTTACTTTTAGCCATGAGTTGCTTGTGGCTACAGTTGAAATTAACTAAATAGAAATTTGCTACTTATAACTTTAGCTAGCCTTGTTAGCTTATTATTAGCATTTTACCRCAGTGTTTGGCTAGCCTTTTGTTACTTGTTGCTTTTGGCTAACCATTTGTTTCTTTAAGCCTCTAGCTAGTCTTTGCTAATCTTGGCTTATTACTAGCATTTTTATTGCTTTTAGCCAGATTTGTGTTGCTTGTAACAGTAACAAGTAACAAAGTAGCCATTTGCTTAGCATTTTACTGCTCATAATGCTTAGCTAGCTTTTTGCTTCGTTTTGCTTTTTGCTAGCCTTATGTAACTTGTAGCATTTAACTAAGTTTTAACTACTTTAAGCTTCTAGTTTGCAATGCTAGTTTTAGCTTCTTGCCAGCATTTATGACACTTATAGTTTTAGCTTGTGTTACGCAACTTTTTGTTTTGGCTAGTCTTTTATTTCTTGTAGCTTTTAACTAACCTTTTAATGTTGGCGCTCTTTGCTGTTAGCTGGCCCTTTGCTAGTTTGAAGCTTTTAGTTAGGCTTTTGTTTTAGCATTTAGCTATCATTCTGCTACTGTTAACCTTTAGTTAGGCTTTTGTTTTAGCATTTAGCTATCATTCTGCTACTGTTAACCTTTAGTTAGGCTTTTGTTTTAGCTTTTAGTCAGCATTTTGCTTCTTTTAGTTAGCTTTAGTTCAGTTTCCAGCTAGCCTTTGCTGCATTTAGCTTCTAGCTAGCATTTTATTTTTTAAGGTTTTACTTATCCATTTTTTATGTTTATCTGTTGGTTAGCATTTTTCTAATGTAAAACTAAAGCTAGACTTTTAAAAGTTTTAGGTTGTTGCTGATGTTTTGCTTTTCTTGTTAGCGTTCTTCTTTTAGCTTCAACGCCTCAGTTTCAGCTTCTTCAGCCAATGTCATCATTCACTCTGTTTTTTTATTGTTGTTGATGTTTGTGCAGGTGATTGTGGGAAGTATCTGTGAGGTCATCTGGGACATGATCAAACCAGGAGCATCGTTTGGCATCAGTGTGCTGCGGGCCTTAAGACTTCTGAGGATTTTCAAAGTCACCAAGTGAGTTCATCTCAGGAGACTAAAACAAAAAGAAAGAAATAAAAAWAAATAAATAAACAGATTAAACAAAGTAAACAACAACATATATTTTTAAATACAGGCCCACCTCTGGAAATGAAAGTTATCAGTGATTAAAAATGTGAATTAACTCGGTTAGAATGAAGTAACCTCATTTAAATGTTTTAGTTTGAATATTTATGCCAAAAAGTCAATTATGGTGGTTTTCTGCTAATTAAATCTGGTTCAGTGGTTCTGAGTGTTCCTAAATTCAAAAATCAATGGTTCTAAACTATAATAATTGATTGTTAGATCACTAATAGGTGGTTAATTATGTTCTGTCTGAAGGTAATAATTGGGACTTTAAAGCTGAGAGAGTAAATATAATTTAGTAATTATTGAACAGTTTAAAACATGTTATTTTTTTTTGTTGAAGGAATATCAGCTCGTAAAGATACAATAGAGGGGTGAAAACTTTTGCTTTGATGACTGTATATTTCTCTCTGCTTACAGGTACTGGAACTCGTTGAGGAATCTCGTGGTTTCCCTCCTGAACTCCATGAAGTCCATCATCAGTTTGCTCTTCCTCCTCTTCCTCTTCATCGTGGTGTTTGCCTTGTTGGGGATGCAGCTCTTCGGAGGACAGTGAGTACATCCTGACAGCGCACAGATCCTCCTCCTCCTTCGGGGGCCGTGCTCTGTGGACGGCGGCGGCGGTGGGGGTCGACGCAGCAGGAAGCTGGCTGAGCAGCAGCTCTTTGAATATCACTCCCAGCTGGAGCTCCGTGTCTCCTGAAGACAGGAACGCCTCATGATCCTCGTCTGGCTTCAGATAATCAAAAGCCTGACATCTGCCCCCTCTGAATCAATTTGCACACAAACTGTTTACCCTTCACCTCACYGCCAGCTGCTGAACCCACACTGTGTGGGAAAAAAAAAGCTATAAATCAATCAGCTTTACAGAAAAAGAGCTACATTTTGGTTCTGTAGCAACTGAGAGTYATCCCAAAACACATTCTGAGCTCTAACAGATTCCTCAGGAATAAAGTCAGCACAATTCAAGATGGCCGACACAGTCCTGTTCCCTTTAGAAATCTCAAAAATCCCAATAATTCAGTAAGTTTTGCAGGTTATGTGTAAAGGTAAAACACACGGCAAGAATCTGCTTTATTTTCATTTTCAAACAACTTTTCAAGTTAAGTTATTTCTTTCTTGCTACAAAATGTTTTGTGTCCCCGTTTAACCCCCGTTTTTCCAATATTTGTTCTTATTAATCCACGTGTGCCTGTAGAGCAGCCGTTTGCCTTCACAATTGGTTTATAATATAAACCAGCTGCTATTGTGTTCAGGATTAGATGGAATGAAGCAGAAGGAACAAACTTGCGGGGAGCGGAGCGTCACATGACGCCTGTTTCCAGGACAGAGTCTGCGGACGACTCGTGGAGTCGCTGAGCCGCTCGCTCCCAATCCCCATTATCAATGTAAACAGAGGTCCAAACTCACGGCTGCAGAGCGTTTGCTAATCCCTACAGAAGGAGAGGAGCGAGTGAGAGGTGATAGAGGAAGAAAGGAAAGGGAGCGAAGCAGGAGGAAGAAGATACAGTGATGAAGCAGCAGCTGAACAAAATAACAAAATACCTGAAGAAACCGCTTTAAAATCTAAAAACATCACAAAAGCTGAGTAAAATGCAAGTCAAAAGCCAAAATGAGCAAAACATTAACCAAAAATAAATAAGTAAAAGTAGCGAATGGCTAGCAGTTAGCCATTCGCTACATACAGCTAGCTGCTAGCTGAATGTTAGAAGTTGCAAAGAGCTAACGGCTAAGATTATCAAAACAAAAACTAAAAGCAGAAACAGGTTAGATGAAAGCTAAAAGTAGCAACACACCATCTGAAAGCTAAGGAAGTAAAATGCAAGCCAGAAGTTAAAATGAGAGTAACCACCAGCCAAAAAATAATAAACACTAGAGGAAAGTTGCTCAAGGCTAGCTATGAGCTAATATAAGCATAGAGTTAGCTAACAGCTAAGAGCATCAAAAATATTAACTGAAAACAAAAGGTTAGATGAAAGATAACCTGAGCTCCAAAAACTAAAGTAAAAAGCTAGTTAAAATAAGAAAACCACTATATAAACTTACTGAAAGGCTAGCTATAAGGTAGTAGTAGCAAAGAACTAGCCAATAGCTGAGATTGTCATAACGATTAACTAGAAGTAGAAAAAGTGAATATGAAAGCTAATAGTAGCAAATTGTTAGTCAATAATAGCAACACAATAGCTAAAAGCTAAAAATGTTAAATGCTAGACAAATAGCAAATTGAGCCAAACACTAGCAAAAAATAACAAACACTACATAAAAGCATTGAAGAGCTAGCTAACAGCTAAGATTTTTAAAACATTAACTAGAAGCAGAAAAGGTTAGATGAAAGCTAAAAGTAGCAAATCACTAGCACTAGCTAAAAGACACCAAACAAGGCAACAACACAAGCTGGTGGTGCTGCAGCACCTTCTGAACCTGAATTTCCCACGGCTTTGTGAACCAAAACGTGTTGCCTAAATAAAAAGATGTCTGTGCTGACTTTATTAGCACACAATCAAAATAAATTTAATTAAATTTTTTTCCATATTTGTGACTTTGTGATTGTTTTCCAGGTTTAACTTTGAGGATGAGACACCGACAACAAACTTTGATACGTTTCCAGCAGCAATTCTCACCGTGTTTCAGGTACAACAATACCAGCTTCACTCAATTTGAATAAAAGTTTTAAAAAAAGGACTTTTTTTTAATGAAGAGATTTGTTATTTTAATTTTTAATTAGTGGGAATGAGCGACCCGTGCTCCTCATGCGCCCTGATGAGCTCTATTATAATCCTTTGATTAGTTTCTTCCCTCCGTTTTATCCTTTAATTCTTCAGTGTGTGAGATCTGAACGGGCCTTTTGTTCCTGTCTCACTCAGATTCTGACCGGTGAGGACTGGAACGCTGTGATGTACCACGGCATCGAGTCTCAGGGAGGCGTTCGACGCGGCATGTTCTCCTCCATCTACTTCATCGTCCTCACRCTCTTTGGAAACTGTATCCTGTGTGACATATAAACATTTAATCTAAGAGGCTGAAGATTTCAGTAGTGGTATAACATATAAACATATATTTTATAAAACCAGAGATTTTCTGCTACAGCAGAGTGTACCTTTCACACAGAAACAGAAGGTTTGGTGTCTTTGTAAGGACTGCAAATATGGATATTTTCATAAAAACGCTGACGTAGCACAGCTATCGCTTTGTTCAGTAGAAGCCAAAACAACAACTGAGCTGTTGGTTTTCAATCTTTTCTGTTTTATCCCAATCCTTTGACCATTACACTTGGATTGTGTACTGAAATGTTTTTTAATCAAGAGGAAATGAATAATATAAAAGAAAATAAGTTCTGAGGATAAATTCTTTGTATTTTGTTTTAGTGATAATGCTGTCGTTCTGGCCACCTAGTGGTGTGTCGTGGTATTACACCATTTATTGTTGAACTGTGTTGATGTAGATACGTTAGTGTTGGTTCTCAGTCAGGATGAGAACACATGAGAACATCCATCGTCCATCCATCCATTCATCCAACCATCCATCCAATCAACCTGTTACCTGCTGGGATTTTCAGATATTTCATTTTTTCTTTAGTTTTTGAAGTAAGTGTGTCCTGAGACTTTTGACTCAACCTGTATATTTCAAAAGTTCTTTTCCAAATGTATTTTCTCTTGAAAGCTGTGATTCAGACACTCTCCTGAATGTCTTCTTGGCTATCGCTGTTGATAACCTCGCCAACGCCCAGGAGCTCACTAAGGTGGGCCGCCACCACCRTCGCTGCTGCCAGTCTTATCTTTAAAGAGTTATCTATAAATCCTATTAAATGTGGTTCATTAGATCCTGCATTTAGGGAGATTAACTGCGTCTGAATCTTTCTGATTTCTATCTTGGTTCTGATTGGCTAAAGGACGAAGAGGAGCAGGAAGAGGCAGCCAATAAGAAGCTGGCCTTGCAGAAAGCTCTGGAGGTGAAGGAAGTCAGCCCCATGTCAGCCGCCAACATTTCCATCGCCGCGTAAGTTCTCCTCTGTCTCAGATCCCGCTCCGTCCGGTCCGGTCCGGTCCGGTCCGGTCCGGTTCCACGCTGGAAATAAATCTGTTTATTTCTCAGATCTCCTCCCTCTCTGTCAGCTGTGTTCCCACTCTGGACGCGCTCTTTGTTGTGTTGTCTTGTTTGTCACCCCGGCTGTTGATCTGCAGGCAATTAAGGAACAACAACAGAGTTTGAACCATTTTTTTTCCACACAATTTTTCTTATTCTTTCAATTTGTTCACCATAATTTGCAAAACATTTTATTTCCAAAGATACTAGATATTATCTGAAACATTTTACAGTCTTTGAACTGTAATTTGTGACTTCCTGCTCTGTGGATGTAACAGTTTTCTCTTTTCTTTATAACTTGTTTTTCTGTTTGTTAAAGTGAGAAATTCACCRTTATGGACAATAAGATATTTAGAAACAACATAAACCTTATAACTGTGAGGGTTGTTATTACTGTAAACAGACAGAGAAATAATTACTGGCTGTTCAGCACAGTTGCAGGTTCAGAGTGGAGTTTATTGTTTTTTTTTTTCTTAGAATAAAGCAGAAACGGATGAAAGCAACAAAACATGGTTCAGGTTCAGGAACTCTGCCTCCTTCAGCTCCTAACAAAGATCCGAACCAAAGATTTGAGWTGTTAAGCAGACGCCTCTTCTCGTTTTCTGTTCTCACGTTAAAACTCATTTAAACACGAGGCTAAAACAGGCCTTTGCTCCTTAATTGCCCTCCTTCCCTCTCAGAACAAGCTGRAGCTCACCGGTTGGTTTACGTCTCAAACATTCGGCTTGTTGTCATGTGGTGCTGTGAGTCTGTTTTCAGTGTTTGTATCAGTTTCTTGTGGCTGTTGAACAGTTTCTTTTTTWAATTTGTTTGGCTTCTGTGGAGGAAAATCTCTGCGTGTCATTCCAAAACACCAGAAAAATAAAAGAGCAAGACGTCGTTAATAAACTGTCAGATTTATTTGTTATTTGTGAAATGTTGGTGACATCATGTGTTGTTTTTGTGTTTCATTTGTCTGATTTTAGCTTTTAGTTAGTTTTGGTAATCATATTATTTAGCTACTCTTCAACTTATTTAGCCTTTTAGCTACTGTTCAGTTACTTTTCGTATATATTGTTTTGGAAAATTGTAGCTATTAGATTTTTTTTGTAAGTTTTGGTAATCGTAACTTTTAGGTTTTAGCTATTGTTTTAGCTGTTGTGATCATTTAAATTTTCTTACTGTTCTTCTGCTTTTAGCTATTAGCTACAGTTTAAATATGATTTGCTTTTAGCTACTGTTTAACTGGTTTTAGCTCTTTGCTATTTAAGCTGTTAGTGTTCTGCTGATTTTAGCTTATTGTATGTTTTTATTTTACAGTTTTTAGCTACTGTTTTGATCATGTTAGTTTAGATTTTTTCTTCCTTTAGCTAATGGTTACAGTTTAGATTCATTTTTTTCTTTTAGCTAACATATTGCTACTTTTTAGCTGGTTTTAGCTTTTTGCTTATTTTTTGCAGTTCAAGCTTTWAGTTACTGTTCTGCTTGCTTAAGCTATGGTTCTGCTAATTTTAAATTGTAGCTACTGTTCTATTAGTTAATTAATAAATGTAATTTTTTAGTATTTGTTTTTACGTTCGGCTCATCTGGTTGTTCTGTGCTGAACTGACTGTAGATGGAATCAGCTCTGTAGACTGTTAGCTGAAGACTTTCGGCTTGTTTTTTCCAAACACACCAAACTTACCCTTGCAACTTCAGGAAAAGTTCAGTTTATTTTACAGCTAAAATGTATTTTCAGTTTTTGTTTTTACCGTTTTGGAATGAAACTGGAATCATTTAGTGTCTTCTGTTGTGTTGTTGTAGCTTTATAGACTGTGACGCAGGGGGCGGGGTTTAAGGGCTGGTGGGGGGTTCAGGTGGACGGACAGACATGTCCACCTGTCCCGTTGACCTTTCTGCCTCATTATTTTCTTTTTGTTCTGCATGTACAGTTTTGTAAAGCAAAATCGAGATGCACTGTCTCACAGGTCGTCCATCATCAGCATTCAGTCACCGTGAGTTATCTCTCTGTTACGGTTTTCTCCTCTTTCCTTCCTTCCTTCCTTCCTTCCTTCCTTCCTTCCTTCCTTCCTGCATTTCTTTAATTCCCTTCTTCCACCCGACTCTCTCTGTGACCCTCTCCTCTCCATCCTTCTCTTATCTGGTGTCGTCTCTTTTCCTCCTCTCAGTTTTGAGCCTTCAGAGAAATAATCTGTAATCGTTCACTTTACTGCTTGAAGAGTGAAGCGCCTTTTCAAGGTGCCTTACAAGAAAATAAACATTTATGTTCAGAAAACACGTACCAGGAGTGGAAAAACTGTTGAGATAAAACATTTAGGCCTTTAACTGTAGTTTTCTTTGTTTATTCAGCTCATCGTTGTCGGTGCCTGCAGTCATTCTTCTGCTTTCTGCCCGTTAATGTCAATATGATGATTAGAAAATGCTGAGTCAGCATTCACACTACTTTTCTGCTATCCAACAGCTGCACCACACTTGGTTCAGTTTTAACCAGTCTTTTTTTAAATGTATACATTTTTGTACTTAATATTTTCTCTGTAAATGTACATTATGAATTATTCAGTTAATTCAAAAACATTGTTCATTTTCAAACCTGCCTCAACAAATTGGCTTCTTTTGGCTTCCTGAACATTTTAGCTACTTTTTAATTTTTTTTCTTTTGCTTTTAGCAGTTCATGTTAGCCACAGTTTTCTTGGTTTCATCTTTTAGCCACAAGTTTTCAGATTTCAGCTTTTAGTTTGTTTTGTTATTGTAGCTTTTAGCTACTGTTTTGCTTGTTTTGGCTTTCAGTTACTGTTCGGCCTGTCTTAGCTACTGTTTTTGATCGTTTCTGCTTTTAGATCATTTTCATGGTTTTAGAATTTAGCTAGGATTTAGCAGATTTTTAGCTTTTTTGTAAGTTTTGTTAGTAGTGGTTTTTATCTACAGTTAGGTTTTAGCTGTTGTCATCTTAATTTCCAGCTACTGTTTCTTAACTTTCAGCTTTTTTAGCTTTTAGTTAGTTGTGTTAATTTTAGCATTTAGCTATTGTTTTTCTGGTTTGGGCATTTAGCTGCTATTTTGCTTCTTTTGGCTTTCAGTTACTGATTCAAATGTTTTAGCTACTGTTTTAGTAAATTTTAGCTTTTAGCTACAGTTGTCCTAGTTCTAGCCTTTAGCTTGAATTTTCTCTTTTAGCTTTTAATTAGTTTCGTTAAATGAAACATTTAGCTCCAGTTTTGTGTTAGCTGTTGTCCTGTTTGTTTTAGCTACTGTTTCTCAGCTGGTTTATTTTTACTGTTAGCTACTGTTTAGCTRGTTTTAGCTTTGTGCTGTTTTTTAGAGTTCAAGCTTTTAGCTACTGTTCTGTTGATTATAACTTTTAGGCTGTTTTGCTTGTTTTACTGATTTGTAGCCACTGTTTTGATCAGTTTAGATTTCAGCTTTTGTTTTTCTGCTTTTAACTATCAGTTTCAGTTTAGATGATTTTTGCTTTTGGCAGTTTAAGCTTTTATTTACTGTTCTGCTTGTTTTAGTTATGATTTTGCCAAATTTAGCTAATGTTTTGGTAGCTGYAGTTTTTACCAAAACTGTTGTTTTTAGTTTTTATAATTGTTCGGCTCATTTTAGCTTCCAGCTTCTTCAGCAGATTTTAGCAGTCKTCTTAAAGCTGTATATGCGCAGAAAATATGAACTTTTCCAGTCCACGTGTTACTGTCAGCACTATTTTGCAGTGTTTGTTGTTGTAGAACATTGGAGATCACATAAATCTGAAATGTTAGCTAAAACTCAAACAGGTTTTTATTATAATGCAACAGTTTTAAGAATATTTCTCTCAAATGAACTCTTCTTTCCTGATATTTAAATTTCCCTCTTTATTCTGTCTGCAAGCATGAAAACTCTACCAGTAGTTGTGTGTCTGTGGTTACCTGTCCTGTGTCCTCTGTCTGTGTCTTTTAGGACTTATACTGTCTACTGCTCCCCCACCCGCCGTGTCTTTAAATACAGGTGAACACATGGAAAATAACGTCACCATAAATTACCACCTGACTGAACCATACTGTTCTCAAGCAGTTCTTACATGAGAGTTAAAAACAATGAAGACATGTTTGTGTTTTTGTACCTAAATCAATGTTTGCAGAAACATTGGTCACATTTGCTCATTAATCTCATTTCTGAACATTTTCTGCTCTGTTGACCTTTAATGAGTCTCCCATTCACACAAGAGGCTCACTCTGGATTAAAAGAAATAAATGCAAAGTCTAAATTTGTCAGGAGA